CCAATAGGGTTTGAATCCCCTTACTGGCCACCCGCCAAAAAAAAAAAAAAGAAAGAAAAGAAAGTTTCTGGTTTCTGTAATGGGCCACAATAATCAACCACATTGTATATCGACAAAATAAAATAAAATAAATAAAAGAAAATTTCTTCTGAGTGACAGGTAAGTCTAATAGCATTCCAAGCCCTCTTTATAAATCTGAGCCACTGAGGCATAAAATGAGGCCCCAGTGGGTCATGACAAAGGTGGAACCCGAGATAAACTCCCTCTTCAGAACTTTCTACATAGGCGCCCTCTCTAGTTCTGTGGTTGGGCAGAGGTAACTCCATCAGCCTTTCCAGGACCCCGAGGGCGCCTGTGGCTCCTTACCTGTCACGCAGCCGGACACCATGGAAAGCGTGAACAGTCCCCACAACAGCAAGTGTAGTTCCATCTTCCTGGCACTTGGGATCGGCTTGGAGCAGTGGAGAGGAAGTGTTTCTCTGCGCCCGTCAGCCTCTTTTTTGCATTGTACCGGGAGGATGCGGGATGAAAGGGTCAGTCCGTTTAGGCTGTCATCCCCGCTGGTCCAGCCAGTCTCTATGACAGTCAGGAGTCGCTCTCTTTAAATATTACACTGATGTGTTCAGCCAGGAAACTGTGCTTAGCGCTCTTCTTTGATGTCAAATATAGGAAGTGTTTTTTTTTGATGACAATATAGTTTGCGGTAATTTTTCAAACCAGGTTTTGTTTCTTTTTTTCAAGTTCAATTGCTGGGAGGTGTGGGCTGGGGTTGATGACAGGGATTGGGCTTCATTTATGAATCCTTTCTGCACCTTCACCCATCAAAGGAAAGGGAGATTCCCCCGCCGTTAAAGAGGGGTGAGCAAGCACTTCTTGGCAGTGGTCTCGTCTGGTGCTGGGTAAACTGCATCCTCCTCGAGCTGGCAGCTCCCTGAGGAGTCCCCAGGGGCACATGGAACGGAGATCAAAGTCACACCGGGAGTGTGGAAGGGCAGCCTTGGCCAGAGATGGGCATTTCCTTATGTTGGATCCCTTCAAAAAGTCTCCTGGGCTTCAGGGCTGGGTCTCCAATATTCAGATAATTAAGAGGCAAGCAGCAGCCTCACTGGTACTCAGAATTAATGAATAATCTCCTAGGATTTATAATTGGGACTAGCCATAACCATTTCACTGTGGTGACCTGGGTTCCTGAAAGTGCGCTGTCATTTTATGATGTTTTGCCTCCAGATCTGTTTTCCTCTTAAAGATGGGCTTTGCTTTTAAATTTTGAACTTTTTTGTAGAATTCAATTTTGCTTATTTATTAATCAGAGCTCTCTTCTGATCTTCATGAAATGGTTGACTATGTTTTTTACCTGGGAACTTGTGTCCATTAGTAATCATACAGTTATAGTAAAACACAATTTTTAAAATGTTAGAAACCCAGCAAAGATATTGAAAAAAGGAAGAACATTTTGGCAAACAAGGAATTCATAGTTCCATGATATGTTGTCTCTAACCCTAACATTCTCCCCGAAAGGCAACTACCTACTTCAAAAAGAGACTTGGAGCTCTGGAAGTGAACAAAGAGTGGTTTGCAGGCTGAGTACCAGAGCTTGCAGAGAAGAATAATGAACTGAATCCTCTCTGGGAATGGGATACTTATCAAAAAATGTGACAAGATTCTCTTTTAAGATTCCAAGGCAGGTATAACCTTATTGCTAGGAACATTTCCAACTGTGTGGTTGAACATTTCATTGGCAATTCCCACTATCTGCAGGCCCTGTCCCAGTTATTAAGCTGAAGATTTTTACTAGCTGTAGATACATTATCTAATTTTGAAACAAACTTACAGAAAAATTGGAAAAATAATACAAATAGCTTTTCCCTCTAAACCATTTGAGAGTAGTTGCTAACATGATGTGCTGAATACTCCAATGTGCGTTTCCTACAAACAAGGACAATCTCTATAAACAAGGACAATCTCCAACATCATGACAATACAACAATCAAAATCAGGAAATACCATGAATCTATTACCTTCTTTCAATTCGCATACCCAAGTTTCCCTAGTGTCAAAATCGTCCTTCTTGCATATAGTTGTCATAGATCTTTCACAGTTCCTTTATCTTTTCTTGACTCTCATGACCTTGACACATTTGAGGAAGAGGCGAGTTATTTTGTAGGCTGTCCCTCAAGTTGGACCTATTGTTTCCTCATGATTGGCTCTGGGTTGGCAGAGATAACACACAGGCGAAGCTTGTTCCCATAGTAGTCTCCTTTAATCCCATCAGAGATGACGTTCACCTTGACCACTTGATTAAAGTCATGTCTTCCAGCTGCCTCAACATTGAAACTACTTTTTTCCTGTGTAAAAAATATTTTCTGAAATTAAGTAAATATCCATTATGTATCTAACTTTCAGTGTGATGATTTACTTATGTGTACATGAACTTGTGATTTTCTGTTTTATTTGATGGCTTATAATCTATTACTGTCATTTATTTTAAATCTCAAATTGTCTCCCATGTGTCCATTGGGAGCCAACTCAAGCTGCCTTCTGTGTCCTTTTTTGAGCACTTCCTTGCAGTGGGGGCATAAAATGATTGTCCAGATCCATCTCATGCCTTCTCTATCTCATCCTAGAATCAGCCATTTCTCCAAAGTGCCCTGGTTTCTTTAAGGAAAACAGTCTTTAGAAGCCAAGCTCTGGGCACTGACTGTGCTCATTGCTATTGGGGCAGCACTACTCCCAGGCTCTCTCAGTGGATAGAGCTAGGAAATATGTGTATGTACACACACACACATTTGTATCTATATTTACTTCTGCATTCATCTATACATGCTGAGGGCAGCACTACTCCCAGGCTCTCTCAGTGGATAGAGCTAGGAAATACGTGTATGTACACACACACACATTTGTATCTATATTTACTTCTGCATTCATCTATACATGCTGAAAACCATGAATTCACACTGACGCATCCCAACACCCCAATTCCAACCTAACACCACAGGGTTGGATTTTCTATTTTTTCCTTTTCTGCACTTGTAACTCCCTTCCTCAACAGTGGGAGATCTGGCTTCCATTATGCCTAATATATTTTCTTATTTGATCAATTTCCCTGTGTGTTACAATCTCCCATCTCTGCTACCACTCCTGTTCCCACCTGGGTACCCTCTACTCCCGGCTCAGGTTCTGCCTCCCTATTCTTGGCAGACCCCCAAACTCTGAGGGAAAGGCCTCCTTATCTGATGGGGCTCTGACACCTCTTGCCAGACTAGGGTGCCCCCTCCCACGGACGTCCTCCTGACCCTGTTTGGGCACTGAGTCACCATGCTGGGCCATCCCCCTGTGGACGGCCTCCTCAACTTGCTCAAGCTCTGACACCCCTTGCTAGCCAGCCCCATGCATGGAAGCTCCCTCCCCACTCAGACTCTGACATCTGCCTTCTTGTACAGACTCCCTCTCACCAGGATCAGTTCTCACTTCTTGCATGAGGATGCCCTCTTCACTCTGCTTGGACCCTGACTCCCCGCCCTGGATGGCCCCACCATGGAGACATTGTCCTCACCTGCTTTGGGCTGTGACTCTTTACTCTGGGTTCCTTCCACCAGAATGCCACAGGTTCCACCCTTGCTTTGTTGTACCTGGAAATTTCAGAACTGAATTGTTCAGAAGGAAAGGAGGAGGGATGGGCTGGTGACCACCATTCAAAAGCAAGGCAGTAGAAGGAAAATGAGGCTGAAATTTGAAAACCAGACAAGCGCAAAGAATCAGCACATGGCAAGGATGTGGAGAGAAGGGAACACTCCTGCACTGTTTGTGGGAATGTAAATTAGTACAACCACTATGGTGGAAAACAGTATGGAAGTTTCTCAAACAACTACAGATAGATCCTCCATATGATCCAGCAATCCCACTTCTGGGTATATAGGAATGGAAATCATCATTTCAAAAGGATACCTGCACTCCCATGTTCATCACAGCTCTGTTCACAATAGCCAAGACATTTAGCAAACCTAAATGTCCATCCATGGACGATTAGATAAGTAAACTGTGGTATATATACACCATGGAATACTACTGTGCCATAAAAAAGAATGAAATTCTCCCATTTTCAACCACATGGATGAGCTTGGAGAAACTTATGTTGAGTGAAATAAGCAAAGCACAGAGGGATAAATACCATGTGTCCTCACTGATATGTGGGAGCTAAGAGAGAAAGAAGGATGGAAAGAAAGACCACAGTGGTGCATTGGACTTGCAGAGGGAGAGAGCATATCTAGGTATGCAGAGTGGAGTGAGGAAAAGGGGATGGGGAGAGCGGTCAGAGATATTTGCAGGAATAATTGGGTGGGAAACACCGGGTATAATCACAATTTGTGGTAATGGACATGCTGCCAGTATGGATCTGGCCATCACATCTTAGGCATGAGTGGTGACAATTTGCTTTGTACACCATGAATATTCATAACCAACAATAAATAAATAAATAAATATAAAAATAGGAAATAAAAACAAGTTGGACTGTTAAAAAAAGAATCAGCACAGCTGTTCCTTGTAATAAAGAAGCAAACCAAACTATAATGGTCAACAAGTTTTGATGTGTTTCACATTTTTTTTAAACTTTAGAGGCTCTTAGGGATTAATATTTCTCCCTAAGTTCACTAATACCTTCAATTTTATATCAGTTTTTTCTTCTATTAAGTTCAAGTAAAATTAAATTTAATGCTTTTTATTTAATAATGTTTTGAGGTTCAAAGAAATATTAACCAGGACTCATAAAGTGCACTTGGATTAAAGTAGACAGCAGAAATTAACCTCAAAATTAATTCATTCCTATACAAAATAATCAAAATCTAAAGTATGATTTATTTGTTTTCTGACAGAAACTTCCTAACCCCCCCCCAATAATTAGAAAAGTTAAATTTGTTTCATTTTATTACTTACAAAATAATAAAAAATTAGCAAAATAGATTAAATATCTTTTATTTTACATTTTTATTATTAAAAATGGAATACAAGTCATTAAAATGAAAATAGTCATCTTGGGGGGTCTTTTTAATCAAATAGCTGTAATTTTTATGAGTAACATTTCTGAGTTACAGCCTCATATCCAAGGCCACATTAGAGAGTCTTCATATCCTATCCTGCATGGGTATATTAGGGGAAAGAGAAAAACCTAGAAATTGCATACTGCTTCAAAAAATTATCAGCTGATTTTCTTTGAAATGTTCACTTCTCAATTATTAAGAAATTGCACGTTGAATGTTTTACTTTCACTTTAAAGGAATAGGATTTGTTGCTTAAGACAATTCCAGTTGGAGAACCATGTAAAATTCTTTTAGTCACAGAGCCAACTCAACTAAAATTATGTGATACAAATGTTGGGTGTTTATTAAACAATAATATCACAAACAAATGGTGACATTAAAACTCAAGTTACATGACAGAGACCAGAGACCAATGAGTCGACAACTGAAACATGGCAGCTG